TAAAATATATAATAAAATATTAGATAGATAGATAGATAATTTATTTGCATTACTTACAGCACACAAATTACAATACAAACATACACATAATACACAGTAAAAGAGATAAAAGAATGAAAAACAAAAAAAAAGCAGCAAAGAAAAAAAAAAACAAAAAGCAAAATATATAAAACAACAAGTTCCTTTTTTCATGCGCGTGCCATAGCAACACAAAATGGTTGCAACTCAGTTTACTGCTTTGCCCTCAAAAGCAAATTCGCAAATACTTATAATAAATCTGTAGAGGGGTCAATTCTGTACATGAAATATATTTCCAAAATAACTATCAGGGAGTGATTAGTGATTGATACTGATGCCGAAAGTGCAAGCAGTAAAATTTTTGTCTCTGTCTGTGTGTATGTTCGTTATAGAAACAAAAACTACTCGACGGATTTTAACGAAACTTGGTACAATTATTCTCCATACTCCTGGGCAGGTTATAGTATACTTTTCATCACGCTACGATCAATATGAGCAGAGCAGTGAAGGGAAATATGTCTGTTACATGAAAACCACTGAACCGTGAGGAAGGACATAGGCTACTTATTTTATCAAAAACGACGGAAACGCGGTCGAAGTCGGGGGCAACAGCTAGACATACATGTAAAGAGAACTCCTCTCGCTCGTGACTTGCGCCAGTTTATGGTACATCTTGGGCGTCACCGTGGATTCATGATGATGAATATTCATGCAGCGTCTCCTTATTACGTTTGCTCGGTATTATAACTAATTGTTTGTTGCGATTAATTCCGCCCGAGTGTGCTCCGGTGTCGTGCCGTCCTATTACAGTATCGCGCACTTCCCGATTTCATGTTTGTTTTATGTTTATTCTACAAAGTTTGAATGTTAACTTACCAATTCTATTTTCATAAAGCGGTTTTCAATTTATTTGTATTGTTTTTTTTTATTGTCAAAATGTTTTACCAGAGGGAGACTTTGTACAAAAGTCGTTTGCTTGGCTACCTCTGTCTCATTCGTGTTTCTATCGTAAAGCAGTTGTGTTTGCATGGCTGTGTTTCGGTTTGAAGGGTGGGTTATGGCGTGAATTTACTGGTTACAGAAGAATAACAACTGAGTCCTCAGGAGTGGCAACGCATGGAGGGTATTATGAGCGAAACAGTATACTCTGTTATGTCCATGGTACTGCTCGTGTCTATAGGCGACGGTTACCACTTTCCATCAGGTGGGCCGTCAGCTTGTTTGCCATTCTAAGTTTATCAATGCCAAAATGATTTTGATTATTATTTTTCACTGGACAGGGTTTAATTGTTTCGTGTTAATCAACCGAATGAAAAAATAGTTTTGTTTTGAAAAAATAGGTCTGTTACCTAATAACTCCGTCAGTTGTAAACCGATTTGGTATTTTATCTGTAAGGATATGCTTATGGACTAAGATTTTTTTAGTTTATAGTTATTTTTTAAGTTAAAATAACTGGTTTTCTCACAATTGTAATGGGATTCTTTGTAAATCGCAATATTGTACTTTGTCAGCTTATTTGTATGTAAATAAAAATTCCGAGTTTAAAATACATGTCAATTCTTCTTTCTTTTATTCTAAATCCTTTAATGTCCAGGTAGTTCGCCTGTAGATTACCTGCTTCTATTCGGTGCGATCAAACTTTTATGAACCTCCGTTAAATCTTACTACCTCTCTTCTTTAGTATTATATTTTGATAAAATTTCTATGGAATCAATCTATAAATCTATAACAATAATATAATTTATTTGCTGAAAAACACGGTATACAGATGTTAGCAATAATATGTTAGAAACAGGCGTGTTTTGCCAAAACAATGGCATGCAAAATTTTAATATTTATGGTAACTTCTTTTCAAATACTATTAACGAAATATTATTTATGTGCTTATAAAGTAGAATTATTCTTTAGTCCAACAAGTCCTTAATTGAGGAATAACATTTGTCCAAAAGCCATTTGTACAGTGTGTTTTTAAATTTTGTCAGTGTTTTTATATTTATAATATTTTCGGGTATATTATTAAAAATTCTTATACACATATTATAACAATTTTTTTAACCTTTTATAAAAAAAAAAATATTTCAAATTGGTACACATATGATGGAGTTATGAGGTAACAAACATAAAAAGGATAAATCCGAATTGAGTACCACCTTTTTGAAGTCGAAACCCTCACTGGTACCTCACCAGCGTATACCAATAGCGCAGGCATTTTCATTATCATCCATTAAATAAAAGTTATGGATATATGCAATTAACGATACAAACGTTTCTCGCTTGTTTTTTACGTAGTTTTATAAATGTGTACAAACGCAAGTTACCGAGTGAAAACAAGCATGGCAGTTTACAAAATGTTCCATGTAAATCAATGTCTCAACACTGGAGCGTGGACGCGTTCGGTTGTCACAGTGTACGTACAGACGGACTGATGTGTATATAGCGGTTCGAATTTAAATTGTCATTAGTTTACAATAAAAATAACATATTGAGCTAATATTTTAATACGATCGCAGCGCGCCTCATCGAGATTACTGGTGACCCGAGAGTTGGTAGCTACATTGCTTTTGTCACTTACCATCAGGTGAACCGCATGCTCGTTTGCCACCTGCGTTGTAAAAAAAAATGTGAATTTTGTAAAAATTTAATCAAATAATAATAAACTCTCGGGAAAGATGCAGAAAGCGGTGCTCTTAGACACTGCCCGGTATTGTACGCCGGTTTCTGTCCCTGGGGCCCTGAACCCCGGCCGACTGTGCTTCTGCCGGGGGTTAGTTGCCATCTCCTCTCCTTAAGAGGGGAGATGTGAATTTTGTAAAAATAATAATGTCAGGCTCTACTGGGACCGATCCGGACAGTACAGTTCTTGTGAACAAACCTGATATCGCGGTGATGGATCGGGCACTCTCGAGGGTGTTTTTGGTGTATGCCACCATACCGCATGACGAGACCCTCGTGAAAGTCGAAACCGAGAAAAAGAGAAAATATCTCGATCTGGCTCACGAGGTGACCGAAATGTGGGGGGTGGCGTACACCGAAATCATTCCAATCGTTTTTTCGGTGAACGGTGTTGTCTTAAGTAGTCTGGAACAACATCTCAGACGGTTGGAATTCCGAGGCGGCTCACTCCCGGGAAAGATGCAGAAAGCGGTGCTCCTAGAGTCTGTCCGCATTGTACGCCGGTTTTTCTCGCTGGGGCTCTGAACCCCGGCCGACTGTTCTTTTGCCGGGTGTTAGTTTGCCATCTCCTCTCTTTAAGAGGGGATATGTGAATTTTAGTGAGTTAGTTTGCATAAGTCCATATCATTGGACGGGGTTACCTTACCATCTTCATCCATTGAACCACTGCTCATTGTATCCTGGTCCTAGAAACTTGTACTACTGCATATGAGATACTGTGACACGTAGAACATTGCAACTGCACTCTGATTTATCTGTCTGTACACGGACGTTTAATTGCACCCGCCGTCCGTTTATTTTGATTTATCGCATGACGATAGTCTAATGTTGGGCTATTTGTGTTCTCGTTACTCGCTACTTTATTGTAATGCTCGTTGCTGTTTCGAGTAATATATCCGTAGAGAAGTAGATACTTCAGGTATTTATGGCTTAGTTTAGAAATGTTCTGTAACAAGCCATTGATATCTGTGAACAAAGCTTTTCAAAAGAGAAGTGGATTTTATATTCGACATTATGTGTGTATGTATGAATGTGTGTATGTGTATGTGTGTGTGTGTGTGTGTGTGTGTGTGTGTGTGTATAGGTATGTATGTGTGTGAGTAGGGATAATATTTATATTTTTATATTCCCATATTTAGAACTAACAGAATTTTTCATCGTGCCTTCCACCAAATTGTTTATAATTACTCCTCTCCATCCAAAGGTTGCCTGGAAGAGATCGCTCTTAGCGATAAGGTCGCCCATTGTTTTCTCACTCTGATATTATTTCTTGTAATTATTTATATTTATAATAAGTTTACTATTGTAATCTATTGGAGGTAACAATAAAGAGTATCTATCTATAAAAAATATGAGTATTTTTTTTAGACTTACCAGAGAGAGACTTTATACAACATCGTTGGCTTCTGTCCCACTCGTGTTTTTGTATACGCTTTCGGGGTACCGGTGAGGGATGATAGATGAAGATGAAGCAGGCCAGTTGGCTCATCATGATGAATTCATAAAAATTTTAACGACCTGTCGTCTGTTAGTCGACCTGTTAGGGTGTATTGCTAGCAATGGCCCTATCAGATTTCATTATTGACAATCCCTTTCTCCCCATGAGGGATATCTTAGGCTTCATAGTTCAGTCCGCGCTGTCCATGGTACTGTTCATGTCTATAGGCGACGGTTGCCATTTACGATAAGGTGGACTATCAGTTAATAAAAGTGGTATTATTGAAAAATAATTATCGTGAGTCATACTGTACTGTACTGTATTTATATCGGCTGCATTTTTTACTTTACGGCTGATTGCAATCAAGGGCCAGGTTGCTCTATGTTGTCTCTTTTCGCCCAGGATAATGTGATCACCTGTGCTATAATAGAAACAGAGAAGTGAAAGAAAAGTTTATTCTTTTTTTTTAGTTGTGGTTATAGTTTTTTATTTATTTATTATTTGTTCAGTGTATTGAGTCTCCTATCTGAAAAATGGGTATTGGCGACCCCCAAGCAAACTAAAGCTAAAGAGGTTAAGGGACCGCCTGTAAATCAGCGCTATGTAGGTACATCTCGCTGGAGGTGTACATATTATATATAGCAACAGTTGAGGCGGCTCCAGCATCCAGCTAAATTAATTTTTTTTTTCTTTTTTATTGTTGTTTTTTTTTTAACTTTTATTTTTGGTAATAAAGACTTTATATCTATCTAAGTTTGAAGTGATTGATATTTTTTTTAATATTATTGCAATAATTAACGATTTCGACTTAAAATTTCTTTCTTCGATTTTAAATAAATTAATGGTGGTTTTTTATTGTTTTGCCAACAGAGTAATGGGAACAATTATATGGCTGGTGAGCCGCGTCGCAAGCGCGAACTGCCCGCGCGACCCAACCACATCTTACTGTATACCATCATCAACCCGGCCTACCCCATCACTGTGGTGAGTACTCGCATATGTCTAGTGTCTGCAGGGTGAAGCCACAAAACTTAACCCTTCTTTGCATGATTTTTTTATTGGTGAAATAAATCATGGTGATATAAAATTAAGATCAGTTTCTTAATTTTAACGCCTCTTTGCATGATTTTTTTTTTATTGGGGACATAAATCAAGGTGATAATTCATGTTCAAAATTAAAGGAAAAATGGTTGTAAAATAAATTTGACAGCTATGTTTTTTTGTTTCCTGCAATGTACATTAAAATGGTATCCGGACACAATCAACTTAAAGTGGACTTGGTCTTTTATATTATTTTTGGGCAATCAATGTTATGATGGAAATTTCCACCATTATACAAAGAAGGGTTAATAGATACGAATGTTTTTATTTTATTTACTAAAATATTGGAGGTTGCCAGTAGCAAAAAAATTTGCAATTATTTAGCAATATTTACCATTACATAGACGTGTAAATGTTATTTCTTTTTACGAAATAACACAATTGTTTGTGACGTTTAATCACTGCCACCTAACTGATATTTATAATGTAATTGCGAAGTTTTTTTTTCTAATTTACACTTTATTATTATTATTTTTTTATACAACTTAGAATGGCAAGCAAGCTGACGGCCCACCTGATGGCTAGTGGTAACCGTCGCCTATAGACATGAGCAGTACCATGGACATAACAGAGTATACTGTTTCGCCCAAGGTGTTATTCCTCTGTACCCAGTAAATTTACGCCATATTATAGAACGTTTCTACGTTATTAACATATTGAGAATATTATGTTAAAAAATCGAAATTGAAATTGAAATGATTTTTTTCATAATATGTATAATATTTAATTAATTAAAAAAGAATTAGGTTTCTAAAATTTTGACACTTATTGGTGGTTAAGCATCTTTTCCTTTTTGAATATAATAAAAAAAATGACAATATGTAGATATTGTATAATCAGTGACAATAGTAAGTTCAATGTATATGTATATTCTCCGCAATCTGCATTCGCCAATACATCGCTCTATCTACAAATTTAATGGACTAATTCATTAAATAAACAAACACAAGACTACAAGCAAAACAATAGCCATTTCGCGGTCTAATGACACGGACTCTGTTGCAACAGGTTGGCAGATGCGCCCAGTTTGCGTTTGTAGAAGCCACGCTCCGCTATGTAAATTTATTTAGATGGATTCCCCGATCAGTAATAACAACTAGATGTCTGGTCGTAGCGGTGTGAACGGTCGACCGAATAGCGCCTCACTTGCCGAGAACTTATTGTTTATTTAAAAAAAAAAGTTTTGTGGTTATGTTACGCGTTGTCTTCGGTATTTGTGATCTGTTTATGTTACATGATTATGTTATCATAAATACAGCTATTTTTAATAAAGAAAAATTTTAATTTATTAATGGTTTAAACTGCATTTCAGTATTTGTGATTAAAATGTTAGGTTTAACCTACGACCAAATAAAATAATTAAACTTTTAGACCCTTACGTATTTATACTCGGTTAGACCTGTGTTTTTTTTAAACTTTTTCATGACGCGACCCCCTTAGTATATAAAAATATTTTGCGACTACCTAACCTCAGTAATTATCAACCTGTATGTTTTTTATTATACTACAAATGTCAAATCTTTACATTTTTATTTTTATATTAGTTAGGTATTCTTTATTGTACACAAAAAGTTATTAAAATGTAAAAACAAACATAATAGTGCACAAAGACGAGCCTATCTCCAATAGAGATTTCATCCAGCAAACCCAATATGAGAAAACTGACAGTTCATTAGTAGTTACAGTCACACATGTGTACCAATCGACTTAAAGGTATCGCTTAAATACAACCATAAATCATTGATTACATTGCGAAATTGTAATTTCTTAAAGCGTCACGACCCTTGCTCATCCTTGGTGATCACCCGCGGGTCGCGACCTACACTTTGAAAAACACTCGGTTAGTCGATGCCGTATTTGAATTTTACTTTTAGTTTGTAAGGTTTTGTATTATCGGTTTTGTTGATCGACGGTCAAATTATTTGTGATTTAAATAAAAGATTAAAATAAATTACATTTATTTGAAATCAAGTTAAATCGTCACTAAGTGAAGTTATGTAGATTGTTTATTAATCGATGTAAGTTCACTACATGGTATAAAATAAAGTCGCTGTCGCTGTCTGTCCGTCCCTGTGTATGCTTAAATCTTTAAAACTACGCAACGGATTTTGAAGCGGTTTTTTTCCAATAGATAGAGTGATTCAAGAGGAAGGTTTATATGTATAATACATGTATAATATTGTAGAAAAACACTGATAAATTTGGAGGTTTCTAATGTGATGTCGTAAATAAACACATTTTTTTGCGTTTACATTGCAAACGCTGACTGAACCCCACGAGATAAATCAAGATAATGTAGTACAGTATTACCTTAAAAAGGTCAACAAAAAAGTTCGCGATGGTATATGTCTATCTCTTAAGGATAACCCACAATAACCATTTTTTATCCTTTACATTTTACGGGAAAAAATGTCTTATTTGCGAAGTGATTTTAAGGAATACAGCATTAATTTTTATTCAATTAAGTACCTTAGATACATTGTCCATTTAATATAGATCAATATGGCCCTTTACAGAATGTAATTTAAATGAATATTTCCGAAAATATTACAGATTTAAAATGCAGGGACATAGCACGTCGAAGGCCGCGATTCGCCCTATAGCACTTTATCATGTTTGTATTGTCTAATGACAAAAAAACTGTAAACGTTGTTTATAAGGAGATTCTGTAGTAGGTGGGTATATTTAGTAACAGCACTGCACCCGTGCGAAGCCGGGGCGGGTCGCTAGTTTTACATACAGATTAAGTTTAAATAAATATGCTCATGGCTGAGTAAACATGAGTAAAATGGATACCGCTCCGATATCTATATATTGGGTCCCTCTGGACACTGACGACGGGAAAAAGATCATCACCCATTGCGATATCGCCCATATCGGATATCTATTTTTTAATATGTTAAAAGTCTGTTATGCAATATTACTTTTTTAGTTAACAGACTTGACATGGACCAGTATATAGTAATTATTTAATTTATAATAAGTTTATTATTGTAATCTTTTGAAGGCAACATTAAAGAGTATCTGTGTAGATATAGTAACTAAAATATATAGTTATTGCCATCTATTACCTGCCCCTACGACTGAAGCATCTGTCAACTGTTGATATTTGTGGTAAACGTGGTAAACTCCACGTGCTCACATTTTGCCGCGAGCATATTAGAATCTATATTGACAAAGGGCGAGCCAGACTCGTCACGCGAATTAGTTTCATTACGTTGTTTTGCATCACTGGAAAATTAATTAATTAATCCGTAATTTTAGTAGACACATAAAGATTATGTATTTGCACTTACTAAATATAAATCCATTACATACTAGTCGTGTGGTCCCGGCATAGAATGGACCATATCAGAGTTTCTTTTTGTTCGCTATTCCACGCGATTACATCGCCTATTTTGTTTCTGTTTCGACAAATCTTGCAATCGATTGAGTTTATACTAGTATTGGTCCCACGCTAATTTTATGACGATTAACACTGCCGCTTTCCTTTTTTGTATTTAAAACTGCTGCTTACGAAACAAAATCTGCTTTTTGTTATCTGCCTGGTTTAAAAAGTGCAATTGTGCGTCTATACCATAAGGCATTATAAATTCAAATATTTTCAGTAATATGACTACATAAGGTGTCATAGATAAGTGGTTTTTTGTTACTATTAAAATAACTTTTTTTATTCGGGGGAAAAATATATTTGTTTTAACATCAAGATCATGTTTCGTTCGGCTTTCATATATCGGGCAGATTTTCATGGTAGGAAGGCTGGCCCGCCGCGAACTAAGACCGAAGTTCATACGTAGTCGCTAGTTCGCCAAAGAAGTGCTAACTCCAATAGCACGGTCGATAGAACTCCATCTGCGGATATAACGCGCCATTATAGTCGTCAGTCCGAGTGTTGAGATGGGTCTGGACGTGGCCTGAGACGAGCGGAATGGGTAAATTTCTTAGTTTTTTTTTAATTCGACTTGTAATGGCAAAGAAGCAGACGACCCATCTTGGATGGTCAAACATCTTATGTGTATAATGTCCATTTATGTATGGAAAGTAGACATGAACCTAACCATGAACATTACACACACATTCTGAGTTAACAAGGGACACGTTGCTATTTCTGTAGACTAAATTGTGTTGTAATTTCATTTCTATATCTCATCCTTCAAACCGAAGCACAGCCTTGTCAACATATCTGCTTGATAGCAAAAATACGAGAAGACATGCATACAATTTTTGTATGAAACTTCTTAGTTATAAAAGTAATGAACTTAATAAATATTTTTTGTTTGTTTTATTTCCCATAAAAAGTTGATGTTTAAATCGTAACAGTACATTCTCTTATGTCCATGGTGCTGTTCGTGTCTATAGGTGACAATTACTACATTTTATCAGACGGGCCGTCAGCTTGTTTGCCATCCTACGTGAGTTGCATACGATAATATTGAGCTGTTTATATGGAAAGTCCAATAAAAAGATTTTCAATTGTGCCAAAGTTAATACTGAATCAACACCGAAATGAACTCTACCGATTTAAAAAAAAAATACAGCAAGAAATATAATATATGAACAAAAATACAGACGAATTAAGATTTTGTTCATTTTGAAAATCGCTATAAATCTATAAAATCGCTTTAAATCTATAAAATCACTGTAGATATATAAAACCGCTGGAAATCTATAAAATCGCTGAAAATCTATAAAATAGCTGTAAATCTATAAACCGCTGGAAATCTATAAAATCTCTGTAAATATATAAAATCGCTGGAAATCTATAAAATCGCTGTAAATCTATAAAACCGCTGTAAATCTATAGAACCGCTGGAAATCTATAAAACCGCTGGAAATCTATGAAATCGCTGGAAATCTATAAAATCGCTGTAAGGTCCACAAAG